TCTACATCATTAGCTTATATTTTCTGCAGTAACCTTTGTGGCATTTCATGAAATGCCATCTGGACATATAAGTACAGTATATTCATCAGTTCCTATTATCCACAACACATATTACTTCCTCAAAGACTTTCTCTTTCACAAACCTGACTCCACACTGTCATAATATCTTTAATAATACCTTCTAACATTTCCCCTCTGTCAGATGTTTAGCTAACAGACCTATATTCCTGATTAATGTTTCCATTCCTTTTTGAAGGAAAGAGCTCCATTTTGCTGTTTCCCAATGTAAAGGGACCTTCCCCTAATTAAGGGTGTTTTGGAAAATTAAAAATCAACTATCTCACTTGCCGTTTCTTTGAAAACCCTGGGATCAAGGACCCAGGCTTCTGTCAGCCCACAAATCCAACCTTTTACAATTTACTCAAGACCACTTCTCTGGTGAGTGTAATTTTTCTGATTCCTCCCTCCCCTCCATACCTGATTTGCAGCTGCTTCTGGGATGTTACTTGTATATTACTGAAAACTTACTGCCAGTGCCTCTGCAATTTGCATTTTCACTTCCCTTAGTATCCTTGGATATATCTTTCGGTCAAGCCTTCTACCTCCATCTTTTGGTCCCTAATCAGGAACTATAAAGCTCCTTTTCCTATCATTTTACCATTTATGTCTGTAGAAGACACTTGGATTTCAAAATTTATTCTATTTTAGTTAAATTGCCAGTGTTTTCTCATTTTCCTTTGCCTCTTGTTGGGATTTTAAAAAGCAACAGCACATCCCATTGGTACACAGTAAGAAGGGAGTTTTTTTTGCCACAAATGATATCTTTTTAAATTGTCTATTCATCTTAATATGCAAGGAAGTAAAACTGACCACCCAAGAAATGTCAGAAAAGCCTGAGCTAAAGACAGATCAATCATTGGCAAACAAGTGCTTTATTTTAACTGCTAAATGCTTCAACTAAGTGAGTGACAGATGATCTTTCAAGGATACAGTGTAGTTGTTGCCCTCACTTCAGCATATATTTCATTCATTAATCTAGACATAAAGTTAAGAAAAATTATCCGCGGTAGGTGCACAGGTTCAACTGTACATTAGAACTGAAATTCAGACTCTGCTTTGAATTGTAAACCTATATTGTACATCTAAATTTGCTTGTACACTAAATCTGCGCTGTACCAATGCACCCTTGACAGTACACAACCAAAGATCATTGCAAAGGGATTGCTAAAAGTGGAATTGCAGCTCATGACGCAAGCTGAGAAAATGGGGACCAAACAGAAACTTTACATGCAATTATGTAGAACTAGTCTTGAATGTATTACTGACATAATAGACTCAAATTGGCCTTGGGTTTGTGTATACTTGTGATAATGGAATAATGTTGCATCTGTCACTCAACCTAGCTGTATGTTATTTGATCTACATAGCATTACTTTAGCCCTTTGCAATGTAATGTGCTTACTGCCTTTTTGCAGATAAGATATATCTTCCATATGTTGCATTTTATTTGTAATGTAACATTTAATTTGCTTTAGTATGGGTTTTTGTGTGTTTTATATATTTTGGTTGTAATTTAACAGTACAATGCAACATTGCTTAAACAATGATGCTTATACATTTTTCATGCTGTCTTCCACCCAATGGCCTCTATGCATGTAAGTAACTGTGATTGAGTGACATTAACTTTTCTCCCTAATTCCATCTTTTTATTTTTGTTTGTCTCATCAACATTACAGAAATTAAAACTGCATTATATTTTGTTGGAAAATTAGTTTCTATATTTGATCAATAAAGATTAAACTTTTGAAAAGCAAATTGATGTGAACAACCAGGAGTACAGCAAGTACATATCTTGTTTAACTACACTTATGTTAGTGCAGTTGTGGTGTACAGTAGCAAATTTGCCAAATTTGCCACACTCTCACCTTGATCAGAACTCAACAAAGCCGTTTAGTCATAGAGTCATACAGCACGGAACAAATCCTTCAGTCCATCTTGTCCATGCTGACCAAGTTTCCCAAACTGAACTAGTCCCACTTGCCTGCATTTGTCCCATACCCTTCTAAACCTTTCCTATTCATGTTCTTGTCCAAATGTCTTGTAAATGTTGTTAGTGTTTCTGCATCTATCACTTCCTCTGGCAGTTCATTCCACACAGGAACTACCTTCTGTGTGAAAAAGTTCTCTCTTCAGTCCCTCTTAAATCTTTCTCCTCTCACCTTAAAAATATCCCCCTAGTTTTGAACTCACCCACCCTAGGGAAAAGACCTTTGCTATTTACATCATCTATGCCCTTCATGATTTTATAAACCTCCATAATGTCACCTCTCAACCTCCAATATTCCAGTGAAAATGGTTCTAGCCTGTCCTTACAACTCCAATCCTCCAGTCCCGGCAACATCCTGGTAAACATTTTCTGAATCCTGTCCAATTTAGTAATGTCCTTTCTGTGGTGAGCTGTAAGTACATTGTGAAAGAACCCTGAACGTCTGACACCTCATTCACCTAACGTGTTTTCTCTGTCATCTGTTCAGTCTGTGCCATGAAGTGTGAGGCCCACAACTCAGTAGCTTATTTTCCCACCTGTTCCTCCCCATGATTTCATATTGGCATTGTGTCAGTCATCCTGTCAGCTGAGAAAGACGTGGTGTTGCCAGCAGTAATTCATGGTAGACTGAGAATAGATGTTGATTGAGCACAGGTGGAGTAATGAAATTCTATATTCAGGTTGTATTTAAAAGACTGCAGTTTGGACATTTTCTATATTAAAAGAGAAATACCTCTGTAATTCAGTGGTTCTCAGACATTCCCGCTAAATTATGATATAATATCTATAATGTGAGAGTTCTGCATGTAAAGCATATTTTCATAATGCTTTTTCAAAAATAAGTTCCTTACTTGCAAATAGCAGTAAGATGGGGTGTACTTGCTTCTCACTGCAGAATCAGTCTATCCTTGGCAGGAAAACGAAGAAAGCAGGCACAGAGACACCTGTAATAAAGCAGGAGAGACCAGAAACATGAGATTAGCAGGAGCAAAGGGATAACAAAAACATGGAAAGTGCAAGAACATAAAGAGATTAAGGCAGTCCTCAACTGCCGTTCATTCTTGCTGTTCCCCTGTCACTGTCATATTAGTTCACAAAACCCCTGAAAAGTCTCTACGGACCACAGTTTAAGAACAACTATGTTAATTGAGGGTTCCAGCAGAGAAAAGCAATCTACCACAGTGACTCCTGTGATAACTTCACATTATAATGAGTTATTAATATGATAATTTCAAGGGGAAGTGTCATTAAGTGGATATTTATGATCTCAATTAGTTACACTGATTTAAGATGTGTGAGGCTAAATGTGTCTGTCAATGTGTAATGAGACATTATGAAAATATAATGCAGCTTTAACTGAGTGATGAAATTGCTATGTAACACTCATAATTCCCTGTAAGTACGTCAGAAATTAGTTAGTGTTTCATGTAATTTACAACAGCAGTAATGAATGCACCTTTCTACCATTAATGACTCTGGCATTTCCTTTAATATTGTGGCTGAAGACAAAGTCTATGGTGTTATTTCTGTTGTCTTTAGAAATTGGCAACATTATTATTGCAGGTGATGAATGCTCCTATTGGGATCTCTTTTTTTTCCATTTGGAGTTTTAAGTTGTTTGTTTATAGTTTGGTGTATTTGAGGAGCTTATACCCCACTTCATGCCTTGTCTGAACCAGTTGTCTTAACAGTAATGGTTCCCTGGCTTCTAAATATCATCAGTAACTTTCCCACAATCTGTCTTTTAACAAAATCAGTAGTATGTTAAGTGCAAGCTTTGCAGCTGGGAAAGGAAAGCCTTCCAGATTAATTAATACAAGGGACTCATGTGAGTGAGTGCTATGAAATTGGTGCACACCCATGTTATTAATGCATTAAGTACTCTCTAGGCTCCTACTGACATCAGCTAAGTGGCCACAGATCATACAAATTGTTCTGCAAGCCCGGACTTAGAATTGTCCTAAAGTATATATTTCAAAGTAGGTGACTAGAAAAAAGTATTTTAAAAGTTCTGCTGAGTTTTGCATCTTTACATATACACATATGAAAAGTACCATTATGGAAACTTTAATTCTCTTCAGAATCTTAAAGATTAATTGATTAATATGAGAGAGCAACCTGGAGCAAGTAATACATAATAGTGAGATTCTTGGAAAGTAAATAAACATTAAACTGTCAAGATAGAGCATCAGACTAGTATTATTCCCCAGGAGCACATCTCTCTTGTTATGAAAAGTTCACTGCATAGAAGGCAAAAAATTCCATTGTGCTAAGAAAACCCAATAAAAGTCTGCATTTTATTGCTGTAACTGGTTAAGGTGTTCAGCAAAACAGTAGGTCATTTAGAAAGAAAAACAGAAGTAGCTAGAAAAGCTTAGCAGATCTGGCAGCTTCTGTGAAGAGAAATCAGTTAATGTTTCAGGTCCGATGCCCCTTCTTCAGTAGGTCATTCAGGATGTGTTTTCCCATGTTCTGGAAGTTTGCTCATAAAATAGTCAATATTTTATAATGCAGTTTCATTTATTTTGTTTTCGTTTTCAATAATATGGTTTATTGAAAAATTGCAGGTTTATGGCATGAAAAGCAATTTTATGGATAAACAAAATGTGTATGTGCGGAATCTTACAATCAGCCCTTCTGTATTTATCAATATTTTGTACAGTCACCTTCCCATTTTAAGATTGCCCATTATTCAATTGTAGTATTAAATGCATTTCATTACGTCATTTTTTTAATACCAGTATTCAAAGAACAACTTGTTATTATACATCAGCAATTTTAGAATAAGCAATATTTATTTTCAATTTGGTGCATCAGATCCTAACAGAGTTTACAAGCCTCAGTGGTTATTTCCAGAAATGCTGAATTTTTTTCCCTTGTATTTTAGCTGCTTTGCAAACATTTGTAATGCTCATGATATGCAACTCATTCTCTCAGTGGGCTTCCTTTTCAGTCTTTGACCAACTAGACCTTGTTACATATGAAGAGGTAGTAAAACTACCAGCCTTCAGAAGGAAGACGCTAGTGTTACTAGGTAAAAAAAAATTAGTAAAATAACATTCTGGAATGGCAATTAGAAAACAACACCACCAAAATTATATTTTAAAAATGAATTAAGACTTTTCCATTTTTGCCTTTTTTGTTTGTGGGAAAGGGGCCCATGGAGTAGGGCGAAGACACATTAAAAACACTCTGATCACAAAGCATCCAGACAGATTTGCATACCCTATTCCACGTAAGTGATAATTTTTGAAATATTGTGTTTGTGAAATATAATTAGTAACTAAATTATTACATTAAAGTCATGGTTTGTTGGAGTGCCATGATTGTGTATGATTTTTCTCATGTGAAAGCGTAAAACCAGTACCATGCTACAAATGCCACTTAAAGGCTACCTACTGGCATGCATTTTTCTCCAAACTGAAGGATGGTCTGACCCATGGAACACTCTCAATCAATGTCAGTTGTCTGAGTCAAGAAATGATTGTAACATGAGATGCGTTGAAAAGTGTTGCTTTGCATGCATTACAGGCAGATCATACCACACAAAGTGCATTAAGGTAGCAGAACAAAGGACAGAATAAAGTGTTACAGCTGCAGAGAAGATACCGAGAGAGAGATCAGAATTTGCGAGGTCTCTCAAAAGTCTCATAATAGCAGGAAAGAAGCTGTCCTTGAATCCATTTGTATCTAAATTCAAACTTTTCTATCTTCTGCCCAATGCGAAGTAAATGGAAGGCTAGTTTGTGTGACGGACAGGGCTGTATTCACGACTCTGTAGTTTCTTGCGGTCTTGGAAAGAGCAGTTTCCATGCTACGCTATGATGCATCCAGATAGGATGCTTTCCATGGTGCATTTATAAAAATTCGTAAGAGTCCTTGTGGACATGCCAAATTTCCTTAGCCCCCTGAGGAAGTAGAGACGTTATGCTTTTGTGACCGTCGTATTGATGTGGGTGGACCATATCTGATTGTTGATGATTATCACTCCTAGGAACTTGATGCTCTCGACCATCTCCACCTCAGTGCCATTGATGCGAAGAGGGGTTTGCCCTCTACTCTGCTTCCTGAAGTCAATGACTAGCTCCTGCATTTTGCTGACATTGATGGAGATATTTGTCTTTACACTATGCTGCCAAGCACTCAGTTTTTTTCCTGTATTGTCTTATGATTGTTTGAGATCTGACCTGCAACTGTGGTGTGTTCAGCAAACTTGTAAATGGAATTGGGGTGGATTTTGACCACACAGTCGTGAGTGTATAACGAGTATAGTAGGGCCTGAGTATACAGCCTTGCGGGGCACCTGTGTTGAGGATTATGGTGGAGAGGTGTTGTCACCTGTTCTCACTGATTGCAGTCTGTGACTCAGAAAGTCAAGGATCCAATTAGCGGGGGGGAGTTGAGACTTAGGTCTCGGAGTTTACAGATGGGTTTGTTTGAAAAATGGTGTTGAAGGTGGAGCTGCAGTCAATAAATAGGAGTCTGAAGTAGGTATCCTTGTTATCCAGATGTACCAAGAATGGGTGTAGGGGCAGGGTGATGGTGACTACTGTGTACCTTTTGCGCTGGTAGGTAAATTGCAAAGGATCAAGGCAATTTGGTAGGCTGGAATTGATGAGCGATGACTAACCTCTAGAAGCACTTCATAATTATGGAGATCAGAGCCACCAGGTGGTAGTCATTGAGGCATGCTGCATGATTTTTCTTTGGCGCCGGGATGGTGATGGTCGTCTTGAAGCAGGTGGGGACATCCATCACCACCATCTTGTTGGGAGCAATTGGGGGTGCAATAAACACTGGTTTAAAAACCCAAACGGTCTTAGAGCCATTCCCTGCCTCCCTAGCATCGGCAACAGCTGCAGCCTGCTGATCAAGGAGCTCTTTCCTCCGACAGCCCACAACAGTAACCTAGCTGCTGCATCTTTTTTTAAATTTGTAGGTTTCGAAAAGTTTGGCATCCTAAAATGGCATCCTGTTGCTGCTTTCAAGCTTAAGGACTACATATTGGTCCTCCAGCATTTAGGGTCCACCACCACTCTTAATTTGATGGCAAACCCACCCTCTGGCAACTAATTTGCCTATTGAGGAAATCACAGATGTGGGTTTCCCCACAATGCAAGCTTTTGACACCCACTAGAGCTGATTTCCTGAAGCCTTCAGGGAAACTTCTCCCGATGTCTCACCCACCAATTGCTTCTGTGCTTGCTAACCATATTTACTTGCAGCTCACCAACATTTCAGATTTAAAATTTTGTACCGATGTTCAAATCCTTTTGAGACCTCACCACTACCTATCCCTCTGACTCTGACACCCTTGAACTCAAGAATCTTCTGGCATCTTTGTGCTTTTTCGACTCCAGTTTTTTTTGTAACTTCTCCTGCTGCCTTCACCCACCACTGGGGACCATGCTTTCAGCTACATAGGCTCCAGCTTCTGCAGTTCTGCGTTAAGGTTCCTCCTAAAGCATACCCACATGCCCAGGCTGTTGGTTACCCGTGTTATTGTCTGTTCCTTTTTATCTGGTTACACTCATGTGAAACATCTTTGAATGATTTTCTATGTTGAAGGCATTATTTTCATAGAAGTCGCTATTGCCATGATGACACTCAGCCTCCTATTTCAGCATGCCAGTGCCATCAGAAGAGAAAAATGTAATATATTTAATTGTTATCTATGCCACGACTGGTCACTTCATGCTATTCAGCTAATGAAATAAAAGTTGCCAATTGTGGTCACATATTCTCTAAGTTTAAATGTATGACTGCAATTGACTAAATTAAGGCCTAATATAGTTTCTGGTTTAAACTGCCCCGCTTCCTGTGAAGAAATTTAGATTGAGGAGCAAGTCGTGAGTTGCTGCCTTAAATTGTGCCGGCAGTTTTTCTCAATAATACGAGATTGCTTGTCTTCATAGATACTACCAGACCTGCCAGAAAAGATGAAGAAAATGGTAAAAATTACCATTTTGTTTCACATGATCAAATGATGCAAGATATTTCCAATAATGAATATCTGGAGTATGGCAGCCATGAGGATGCGATGTATGGAACAAAGTTGGAAACGATACGCAAAATCCATGAACAAGGACTAATTGCAATACTTGATGTTGAACCCCAGGTAATGATAAATAGTTGATGGTCAAACAATGGACAGAAACAAAGCATTTGAATTTGAAGGCTTCCTTTAAATCTTGTTTTTAAACACAGTCTCAGATAAGGGGGTTGATGTTATTAATAGGTCAATATTAGTTGATGCCAATATTGACGTTTGTTGGCATGATACGCAGTGCTGCAACACAAATGTTCACAAATTTGCAAGAGCCATAATCTACATTTATATACCCTTTTGTCTTTTATCATCAACTATTTTCTTTTGGATGGACAAAGGAACAAAGACAATGTAGTAGAATTACCAGTAAATGTAAATACTTTTTGATTGTTTAGTAATAATTGCCTCAGATCAGGAAGAAGCATAGAAATGTAATTTGATCAAATGTCTGGTCCAGTACAGACTCCTCATTGACCGAATTAACATAACTAACGGTGGTTGAACCGCACAGACAATGATGGACCCAGTTAACACTGAGTTAATTGATTTCATTTGGCGCAATAGGGACACTGTAACTGGGTTGAATCTCAGAAATTATGGAGGTGACATTGGAAAGATTCTCTTTCTCTGATCATTTAACAGTGACCTCTGGTGGAAGTGCATGAATGTAAATTTTGAGGAAAGGAACAGGCTGACCACATATTCTTTGTAGTCAAATAACTCACCAGTAAGACTCTCAGTTTCTAACTTGGTGAGATAATGGAAAGTATCATGCATCAGTAAAATGACAACCAAGTAATTGTCAACTGTTTTCAAGAAAGGGGGAGAGAAAAATAATGTAACACTATGAGAAACTAGAATAAAGCAGAGGTGACATTTTGCTAATCATGCATTCTGTACAGAAATTTGGTGCTTTCTGACACTTAAAGTAAGAGTTCAGGTCATTTATAGAGTCATAGAACTGTACAGCATGGAAATAGGCTCTTCGGTCCAACTTGTCCATTCGGACCAGATGTTCTACAATTTTGTAATTTCAAACAGCACTTTTGCAAACTAGATTAAGATTCTTTTACTTTAACTATGAGATTTGTATCAAATCTGTTTTATTTGGTGATTTATGTAAAGCGGATCCTAGGAGCCATTGAATATTGATGAAATTTATTGTTTAAACAAAATCTAATCACTTTGAAGTGGTGGAAATTATTCCCATGGAATGATTAAAATTTACCTTCACCCATTCTTAGTAAGAACATTTGCTTTCCATATTGTTAACAAAACATACTAAAAGTTGATAGAAGATTTTCCATGTTATGTAAATACGAGGAGGATGAGATTCTCTCCTGAGAAGATTAAGAATTAAATTCATATAAAATAAATAAGAAAAGTGAACTGTGATTCCAATTTTTGCCATGAAAGACTGCAAACCAATACAGAATGAGCATATGTATAATTCCTGCTGCCCAGTCAGACCATTCTGTTTTATCTTAGTTTACATGTCAGCAGTTTAATCTGTTTCAAGTAATAACACCGAGCTGTTCAGTGACTAACTGTCTGGAGTGCAGTCCAGAAAATGACAAAGCAATATCTTGTGTTCTAAACAAAAATGAAGTTGCTTTTCTATGTCTGGAAAACTGACAGGTTTACTATACCATAAGACCGTAAGATGTAAGAGAAGTCGGTCATTTACCCCATTAAGTGTGCTCTGCATTCAATTAGATCATGGCTTTCCAATAATTCTCACATCCACCTTCCTCCCTTTTCCCTATAACCCTTGATTACCTTTATAATTAAAAACATCTTTTCCAATCTTGTGTGTACTTAACAACCCAGCCTTGACAGCCTCTGAAAGAAGAAATTCCTCCTCATTTTGATCTTAAATATGTAATCTCTTTTTTTCTGAGATTATGCCCTCTAGTTCTATACTCTTCCACAAGGGGAAACAATCTTTCCACATCTACCCTGTAAAATTCTTTAAAAATATTGTATTGTATGTTTCAATAAGGTTACCTCTCATACTTCTAAGTTCCAATGAGTACAGGCTCAGCCTCTCTTCATAAGAGAGTCCTGGCGTCGACATTGTGAATCTTTTCTGGATTCCTCCGATGCCAGTATATCTCCCTTCAGATAAGGGAACCAAAACCGTTTGTCGTATTCCATCTGTAGTCTGACAGGTGCCTTTTATAGTTTTTGCAAAGCCTCTTACTTTTCTCCATTCCCTTTGAAATAAAGTCCAGCATTCCATTTATCATCCATATTACTCGCTGAACTTGGATGCTAACTTTTTGTGATTCGGGGCAAAGACTCCAAAATCCCTCTGCTCTTTAGCTTTCTGCGGTTTTTATTTCTCTATTTAAATAATATTTAGCTCCTCAATTCTTCCTGTCAAGATGCATTATCTCAGATTTTCCCACATTATGTTCTAAGTTTTTTGCCCAGTCAGTTAATCTGTCTGTATCCCTCTGCATATTCTTTGCATCTTCCTCACCATTTGCCTTTCTGCATATTTTTGTCATTTGCAAACTTAGCGATAGTACATTCACTTTCTTCATCTGAGTCATTAATGTATATTGTAAATAATTGTGGCCCCAGCACTAACCCTTGAAGTGCACTACTAGTTACAGATTGCTTTCCTGAAAATCCACACTTATTTCCCCACCCCAACTCCACTTATCCCAACTCCCTGTCCTCAACAAGTCAGCTAAGATACAGTACCTTATACAATGCCTTCTGAATTCTAGCAAACATTGTCAGACATGATTTCCCCTTCATGAAGCCATTCTGATTCAGCTTGAACATATTATGTATTTCTGAATGCTTTGCCACTACACCCTTTATAATAGACTCTAATAAATTTTCCCAATAACAGATGTTAAACTAACAAACTAATTTTGGTATTGTTATCCAAGTAGATGCTCTGTAATGCTGCCATATCCTTTTGCTTTGTAAGTCTCCATTTCCCCTCTTCTAAGCCTCCCCCTGCCCACAGATTAGTTTAAAGCTCCACAAACAACCTAGTTATTTGATTTGCCAGAACTTTAATCCCAGCATGGTTCAAGTGAAGCTCATTCTACCCCTGTACTGGTGCCAGTGCCCTGGGACAGCACGGTGGCTCAGTAGTTAGCACTGTTGCCTCACAGCACCAAGGACCCGGGTTCGATTCCAGCCTCGGGCGACTGCCTGTGTGGAGTTTGCACACTCTCCCCGTGTCTGCGTGGGTTTCCTCCAGGTGCTCCAGTTTCCTTCCACAGTCCAAAGATGTGCAGGATAGGCGGATTGGCCATGTTAAATTGCCCGTAGTGTTCAGGGATGTATAGATCAGGTGGGTTATAAGGGGATGGGTCTGGGTGGGGTGCTCCCAGCGTCAGTGTGGACATGTTGGGCCGAAGGAACTGTTTCCACACTATAGGGATTCTATGAACTGAAACACATTCCTTCCATGCTAAACTTAGAACCAAGCATTTATCTGCTTAACTTTATTTTCCCAATGCCAGTTTCCCATGGCTCGGGTAGTAATCCAGACATTATTACTTTGGAGATTCTGCTTTTTAAATTGGCTCGTAACAGTTCAAAATCTTCCAGCAAAATCACCTTCCTAGTTCTATCAATGTCATTGGTGCCAACATGGATGAGGATTACTGGATCCGTTCTCTCCCTCTCAAATTCTCCTCCAACCCCGTAGAGATGCCCTTAACCCTGGCATTGGGCAGGAAACACAGCATTCAGGACTCCCATTCATGACTGCAAGAAACAGTATTTGTTCCTCTAATTATGCTATCCCCTACCACAATACAATCCTATTTCCTCCCCCACTTAAATGTCTCCCTGTACCAAGTTTCTGTGGTCGTTTTGTTCATTCTCCCTACAGTCTCCATTCTTGTCTGCACATTTTAAAGAACTTGTAAGTCCTGTGCAATTGAAGGGGCTGAGACTCCTCAGTTTTAACCCCCAGACCTTTTCTCCGTCTCACGTACAGTCACATCCTCCTGTCTGTAGTCACAGGCATAGTTTGAGGGATGTGACTGCCCTCTAATGCAAATTGTCCAGGTAACTCTCCCCTTCCTTGATGTGGCATTGTGTCTATAGCTCAGGCTCCAGCTTTTCAACTTGGACCCAAAGTTCCTCGAACTACAACCACTTACTACAGATGTGTTCAGTCTGGATCACATTGGTGCCCAACAGCTTCCACATGTTCTGCCATCAGTATCATATTTGATATATCTTATAAGTTTTTATTTGAGATTCCCTGTTCTTCACTCTTCACTATAATGATATTCATCTTAAATATTATCATATTCTTTTTATTTGTTTTCCTTAAATCTCATCCCAACACATGAGAACAAGTAAGCGAGCGACAAGATTATCCCTTAATGCAGATAGCATTCCACGTTGGATAAAGGATGCACTTCATTCTTGTGGTGGAACTGAAGGTTTCAAGTCTCAGACATGATGTACATGAAACATACAGGATGTGAATTTAGATGCTCAACTCCAGTTTTCACTAATCCTCTCAACTCTTGATCTCTCACAGGCTCTAAAGGTTTTGCGAACTGCTGAGTTTGCCCCATTTGTCGTTTTTATTGCTGCGCCAACCATTACTCCAGGCATGACTGAGGTAAGACAGCAATTCTGAAGTTTTATCTTTGTTTATGTTACAGATTTTGTATGTCCTGCCTTACAATTTAATCTCTTACTGTACTGGAATTGAGCTGAAGGCTTAACTGAATATCTGATTGCCAATTTAATATTATGATAACCTGTTCCTGTTGAAATGTTTCTCTTTGATTTGGAGCCATAGCTACAACTGAATAAAATGTCTTTTAAACTTCAGCACATTAGTATCCTTCCTTAAATAAGGTGACCAATACTATGTGCAGTTTTCTGGATGCGGGCTTACCAGTGCCCTGGCTAACTGAAGTATGACCTCCCTACTTTTGTATTCAATTCCCCTCAAAATAAGTGATAAAATTCTATTCGCTTTCCCAATTATTTGCTCTGCCTGCATGCTATCCTTTTGTGATTCATGCACAAAGACGTCCAGATCCCTCTGTATCACAATTTCTTACCATTTAAGCAATAAGCTTCTTTTTTATTCTTCCTGCTAAAATAGCCAATATATGGCTCAGTCAGGCCATCAGGGAATATGAATACTAAAATTATAATTTTGAATTTGAAACATTGTTGGACCAAGAACCAATGTAGGTCCATGAGCACAAGGATTATAGACAAATGGTGCAAATTGAGATACTGTGGGGTTTGGATGAGTTCACAATTACAGTGGGTGCAAGATGGAAGCATGGTTTGGAGACCATTGGAATTATCATGTCTAAAGGTAACGAAAGCATGGATGAGGGCTGGGATGTGGTAGAGATGGGATTTATTGCAAAGGTTTGTTTTGGAGTTACAGGATATGTAACCAAGAGCTCAGGTCAGAGTCATATAGGATGACAATGTTGAAAACAATCGAGTTCAGCCTGAGATTATGACAAAGCAGCAAATGGGATGCGTGACTGGGGAAGAGCATTTTTGCAGGATGATGAGAGGTAGTGTTAATCATAGATAATCATCATAGAATCCCTACAGTGTGGAAACAGGCCCTTCGGCCCAACAAGTCCACACCGAACATCAGACCATCCCACCCAGACCCATTCCCCTGTAACCCACCTAATCTACACATCCCTGAACACTATGGGCAATTTAGCATGGCCAATCCACCTAACCTGCACATCTTTGGACTGTGGGAGGAAACCGGAGCACCCGGAGGAAACCCACGCAGACACGGAGAGAATGTGCAAACTCCACACAGACAGTCGCCAGAGGGTGGAATCGAACCCAAGTTGCTGGTGCTGTGAGGCAGCAGTGCTAACACTGAGCCACCGTGAGTATAGTTGGACACAATTATGTGAAAATTAACATTGTGTTTTCAGACAATTTTGTTGAAGGGCAATACATAAATCAAACAGGGGAGGGAGGGACTCTGCATAGATCTTTGGGATAGTCCAAAGGTAATGGTGAAAATGCAGGAGGAGAGGACATTATAAAGAAGCAGCCACAGGTAAGGTACAAGACCAAATTTAAGGGGAGACGGTGGTGTAGTCGTGATCTTACTGGACATGTAATCCAGAGGCCCAAGGTATTGCTCTAGGAACACGGGTTCACATTCCACCACAACTTTGATAGAATTTTTTGTCAGTTAGTAACTTATATTTAAAAGCTAGTCTAATTGCGACCATAAAATTATTAACAATTTTCATTTAAAAAGACATCTGTTTCACTAATGTCCTTTAGAGAGAGAAATCTGTCATTCTTACCCAGTCTGGCTTACGTGAGATTCCAGTTTCTGACCGTCAAATAGCTTAGCAACCCACAGAGTTCAAGGGCCATTAGGGATGGGCAGTAAATGCTGACCTTGCGAGCAAAACCCACATTCTATAAAAAAAATCACTACTCTTCTCTATACCTTCACCTTGACTCCAAATTCAGAAAATTATCCAATGTTTTTAATTCCGACTCTAGCCAGCCTTCCGGGCTCTCTCTGAATAAAATTATTGAACTGTTTCTGCTTTCTGGTCAGTGTTGTGGTGTAAATCCATGCCCACCAAAAATCAAGTTGAGACTGTCCAAAATCCATTACTGGAAGACTACAACTGCCAAAAGACTTTCACAGAATAAAAGCCTAAAGAGCTGCGGATGCTGTAAATCAGAAACAAAAACAGAAGTTGCTGGAAAAGCTCAGGAGATCTGGCGGCATCTCTGGAGAAAAATCAGAGTTAACGTTTCAGGTCCGGTGACCCTTCCTCAGAACTGATGGTAGCTGGGAAAACTTCGGTTTACATGCAGAAGATAGGATGGAGGGAGTGGGTAAGGTATAAACAATAGGTGGGGATAGAGCCCAAAGAGAGAGAACAGTTGGACAGACAAAGGAGTTGATAACGATCTGGCTAGGAGGGTGAATAGCTGTTATTGGAGACAGTTAGTGACTAACAACAGGCAGTGTGTAATGGCAGACAGTGTGATAACAAGGCCTGGTGTGTAGGATAGGGGGCTAGTCATGGGAGAGTTCAGGCCCTCAATATTGAGTCCAGAGGGCTGCAGGGTCCCCAAGCGGAAAATGAGGTGTTGTTATTCCAGCTTGCATTGAGCTTCACTGGAACACTGCAGCAAGCCTGAGACTGAGATGTTGGCCAGGAAACAGGCTGGTGTGTTGAAGTGACATGAAACTGGAAGCTCAGGGTCTTTTTTTGCGAGCAGAACACAGATATTCTGCAAAGCGGTCACCTAGTCTACACTTCGTTTCCCTGATGTAGAGGAGACTACTTGTGAGCAGCAAATGCAGTAGACTAGATTGTGGGAAGTGCAGGTGAAGTGTTGCCTCACCTGGAAGGTATGTTTGGGCCCTTGGATACTGAAGAGGGAGGAAGTAAATGGGCAGTTGTTACATCTTCAGAGGTTGCAGGGGAAGGTGCCGTGGGGCTGTGGGGGGCATTGTTGGGTGTGAAGGAAGAGTAGACCAGGGTGACCTGGAAGGAACAGTCCCTGCAGAAGGCGGACAAGGGAGGGGAGGGCAATATGTGTCTGGTGGTGACATCTCGCTGGAGGTGGCAGAAATGTCGCCTGATGATTTTCTGGATGTGGATGCTGGTGGGATCATTGGTAAGGACAAGGGGATCCCTAATCGCTGTTGTGTGGGGAGAAGAAAGAGGTGAGGGCGTAAGTGCGGGAGGTGGGTCGGACCCGGTTGAGGGCCCTGTCGACAACAGTGCTGAGGAATACTCAGATGAGGGAGAAGGTAGACATTCCGGAGTCTCCCTTGTCAAAGTCGGCCTCAACGTAACATATGCGATGGAGACGAAGGAAATGAGAAAATGGGATGGAATCTTTACAGTAATAGGGTGCGAGGATGTATATTCCAGGTAGCTGTGGGAGTCAGTTGATTTATAGTGGATATTAATGGCCAGTCTATCCCCAGAGAAGGAAACAGAAATGTCGAGGAAGAAAAGGGAGGAGTCAGAGATAGATCAGGTGAAAGTGAGGGCAGGGTGGAAATTGGAAGCAAAATTGATGAAATTTTCCAATTCCTGACAAAAGAGGGAAACAGCACCGATGATATCATCGATATATCAGAGAAAGAGTTGTGAGTGGGGGCCAGAATAGGACTGGAACAAGGAATATACCCCACATACCGCACTGTCTCCTCTAAGTTTTGGAAGCGAGGTGTAGACTGGGTGACCGCTTCACAGAACATCTGTGTTCTGCTCGCAAAAAAAGACCCCGAACTTCAGTTGCCAGCCACTTTTACACACCACCCTGTTCCCTGGCCAACGTCTCTGTCTCTGGCTTGCTGCAGTGTTCCAGTGAAGCTCAGCTCAAGCTGGAAGAATAGCGCCTCATTTTCCGCTTGGGGACCCTGCAGCCCCCTATCCCACAAACCAGCTTGTTATCACATAGACTGCCATTACACACTACCTATTGTTCATCGCTAACAGTCTCCATTAACAGCTACTCACCCTCCTAGCCAGGTCGTTATCAACTTCTTTGTCTGCCCAACTGTCCTTCTGTCTCTTTGGGCTCTATCGTCCCTATTGTTTACTCCTTACACCCTCCCCGCCACCCTGGTTTCTGCATAGAATACAACACTTTCCTAGCTATCCACCAGTACTGAGGAAAGGTCACCAGACCCGAAATGTTAACTCTGATTTTTCTTCAGAGATTCTGCCAGATCTGCTGAGTTTTTCCAGCAATTTCTATTTTTGTTTCAAAAGACTTCACGATTGGATCACAGATCCCATAACTGGATGGATAAGATCTCCAATCTCATATGCTGTCCAGTCCCCTAACAGCAGCACTGATTCCATAGCCAAATGTGGAGCACCATTAATGTGGTTGTAGACCGGTCAATTTAAAAGAATAAAGAAGCATGAATGCAGGAAGCAGCAATGAAGCAATGAGAGTCTATGCTGATGGGGAACGGTTATGAAAATGAAATCCTTGACGAAAGAATTTGCAGCAAAGATGCTTCACAAACTAATTGATTTGTAAGTTCCAATTTGCTTTGTCTGTATGCAAATTCTGTTTCACTTTCTCTTCCTTTTGTTTGTCTGTTATAATTGGTTTTTATTTAAACTCACATTTTATGTTTATTTTCTTGCATCCTTTCTGATTTTAACATAGCTCCCAAGGTGGTGCAAAAAGCTACCTGTAAGTATTTGCATTCGCCAAGGTTCTGTGTATGAAACTGGTGGCTTAGCTGTAGCAATGAGTGGTGCAGTAGTTTTCATTGAGAAAAGGTTAGCTTTTTTCCAGTCGATGTATTTTTAATATGAGCCCAAGCATTTTTTTGGTAAATGAAACTTCTCTAATCATTGTAATTACTTAATCAAAATGTCTGCAAAATAAAGGTTAACCCATGTCACTACTGTCATAACAAAGATGCTTACTAATTTTCTAAAAGTCAATAAATTCAAAATTCTATTTTGAATATTTCTGAAAAAAGAAACAGATTGCTGAAACTTTTCATCTTCCACTCATCAGGACAAACATGACAGTACCAGATTTCACAGATCACAGTAATTTATGCTACAGGCGTAAAGGGTATCAATTGGTTGGCAAGTCAAC